CCATTCCAAGAAACCATAGGGAATAGTCCATAAATATCTGTATGAATGAGTACTAATACGTTCATAGGCCTGTTGGCATCTAATCTCTTAATATTTTTCTGTTTGTCATTGATTTAATTGACACATCTGTCAAAATATGTAAAATTAAGGAGATCTAAAATTTCTACACAAGTCTCTCAATTCTCTTTTAAAAGATGTGACTTAATCTCTTGTGCCATAATGAAATAGAAATTTTCTTGGTTAATTTTCTTTTTACACCTCTTGTACCAACATGCAAGAATTCAATACAATAAGCAATTGTATCAAGCAAATAAAGATTATCATGCGTTAATAAAGAACTAGAACCAACCAGATTTGAATTAAGAAAAAGACTAAATTTTCTCTTTCCAAATGAACATGAATAACTAAATTTGTTCAATAAAGAAACAGAAATCACATTTTGTCTAAATATGGTACAATAAAAATCTCTTCAAAATCCAAATAAAATCTAGTCTTTAACGATAATATAAATTTGCCAATTACTTCCACCTTGACTCGTTTGCTATCACCCATATAAATGAATTTGGCACCATCACTTGACTTGAGGCAATGGAGGAAACCTTGTATAAACACACTGATGTAAATTATGGCACCAGAATTTATCCACTAGGTGTGTGTAGGTATAGAATTTAAATCAACTTCATAACAAAAAAAGCTAAGAAGCATACATTTCTTTGTGCACCATATATGATAGTTAGTGCATTGCTTCTTCTGGTGTCCCGAAGCTTTACAGAAGAAACAAATATTTTTGGTCTAAACCTTTTGTTACTTCTTCTGTTGTACTGAAACCGCAACATATTTACCTGTTATTTTTTCTTATTTTTCTTATCCTTTGATATCACTACGAAATGAACACTTTCTTCCTTTGACATTTGAGCCTTTTCCTCATCTTGAAGACAATGTGAAATGAGCTCATTCAGATTCCATGATTATTTTTAACAGTTGTATGTTACTTTAAAATATTTGAACTGTAGTAGAAGAGAAATCAAAACAAGTACATAAATACTTCTTCTAATAATTCCACTCTAAGTACCTTGAGCTTTGCATGTACATGTGACATCTCCATTATGTGCTATTTGATATTTTCATTTCTTTTTTATACCTTATAAAAACAAGAGTCGACATAAGTGTACATACTTCGCCTTTATTACTTCTAGCGAAAGTTTATTCTCAAGAATGAAGAAAATCTCTAGTTATTATGATCTCATCAGACATAGTACCTTGAAAAACCTTTGGAATGGTCTGTTCCATAATCAACATACTCATACAAGTTGATCAACCTATAAAACCCAATCTAAATCCATAACTTCAAGCACAAGTCGAATACTATTCTTCCATTACTTGAAGCTTGTATCGTTCAACATTGAGATAGAATTAACATTCGCGGTGATACTTCCAGTAGAAAAGGAAGCTGAATAGAGAACATACAAAAATAAATAAATTAATACTCACAAAAAACTATAAATCATAGAATCTAATAATAAAATTAAAATAAATGTACATTCCCATCTCAAGATACCAAACACTCTATTAACACTCTATCTTTGGACAAAATATTAACTTGTAAGTGGTATCATGTAACAGTAATTAAATATAGACAGTAAAAATACATTAAATAATAAACTTTCATTTGAGCTGATTTAAAATTCTCATATTATATTGAATAACTGTCACATATTCATTATCATAAAAATGAAACGCAATAATATTAAATATCAACCTTCATTTGGACCAATTAATATTTTCGTAAATTACATACATACAACTGTTTATATTATGAAATAAATAAATTATCTATAAAACATATCATTTTAATGATATGTTGTGTTAATTAATTTATTTCAATATGTATATGTACATACAAATATTAAAATTTAAAATTTAAAATTAAAAGTAAATTTAAATTGAATTTGGAAGAAAATCAACCATAAAATAACCAAAAAAACTTTTTTTAAAAATTATATTTTTTTATATTCAAAAGCTTGACTGTTGATTGGTCAAGGTCAATACGACCATTGACTGTTGACCAAGTCCAGTCAACACCCTGTTGGGTCTTGGACCGGGTTGGGTCTAGGCCAGATTGGCCCAGCTAAATGGGCCTTTCCCTTTCCTTTTTTTCTTCATTTTATTTTCTTCTTGTGGACCAAACCCATATAACTTAATTTTTTTTTGTTTTCCTTCTTCCTCACGCCTGTAACTGCTGCTTCTTAAGTACTAAAGTAACAGCTGGAAAAATCAGCCGTTATGCGTGAGATTTGGCAGCCGAAACGACTGCCGAACAGTCGCGTGTCTGCCAGACTTTCTTCTTCATGCAGCGGCAGTAGCCTGCTACTTTTTCTTTTTTGTTTTCTGCTTCATATCTATGTATATATATACATCCTACATACATATATTTCCTACATTAATTTTTTTTGACTGTCAATTTATTTCATAATTAAAAATGTGTCGAATTTGATCAATTTTTTTAAAGTTATCTTTTTTAATTAAAAATAATTGACAAAATCAATAAAAACTA